ATGACCTGCCAGCGTGTTCGTTTTTGACATTTTTTTTGTTTGTTTTGAAACGGAATATGGTCCCTAACTTTATGGTTGCATTAGTGGCTTCATTGGGATTTGAACTCATGTTCTGTTGACCAACTGTTACAAGCGAGCACTGTACACTGTTGTATGCCATTCAGCCACACGGGCTGGTTTCATCAGACACTCTTGTTCCGTCATGGTGCTGGCCGTCTGTCTCGTAGTACGTGGACTGATGGGACTTATCTTTTTTGTTTAGTTTTTCGAAAGGGAATAAGGTCCCTAACTTGTGGTCATGCGAGTGGCTTCATTGGGATTTGAACTCGTGTTCTGTTCACTAACTGTTACAATCAAGCACTGTGTACTGTATGCCATTCGGCCACACGGGCTTGGTGTCATCAGGCAGTCGTGTTCGTTCGGGGGGGCGTTTTGGTAAAAAGTGCGTGGACCCCACTGTCTTCTGGGCCTTTGGCAGTGGGGTTGTCTTTCCGAAGATAGTACGCCATCGCAAATGGGTGGTTGTAATGAATTGACCAAAACTCCGTATGCTGTTGCAACCCTTCATCGGGCATCGGGCATTGCTCCAGCACTGGTTTTTTTTTTTCAAAAATGCAAAAAATAATAAAAATGGCGAGTGCATCTTTCCACCTTCACCCCAAAGATGCACTCACAATTCAAACTTGTTTCGAGAGTAGTGCAGCACGGCCTATCTTGCTTCAAGCTCTGGAGAACATACACACACTAAGACTTTCCTGGCTGTTTCTGACTGCCCACTGCAATTGTAGCGACTCCTGGATGTATCCGACCTCAATTACATCCAGGGAGCAGGCAATCGAAACAGTACTAGTTTGAATACGCCCTCCTGAGTAAGTATTCCCCCTTCCGTGTGTGGGCAGCACGCACATGCTATGTTCCTTCCCACATGCCTCTCCGGGGAGAGGGGGGGGGGGGGGGTTGGCAAGGTCGGGCCGAGGCCCTGATCACACTTGCATCAAGTCAAAATGCAAGCCCATGAGCTCTGAGAGGCAAACTGTGGCCCAAGGCCAGGTCGCAGTTACCCTGATTCTTTGTGTCTTGATCTTTGAGCAGGGCCTCGTCGAACTTTCCTTGAGGTGAAAGAGAGGAGAAGGAGATGGGGGCGGAGAAGTGGACACGTGGAGGGGTGGAGGCACCAAACAGGTGGAAGGGGGGAGGCACCGTTGCAGGAAAAGTGAAACTGTGAAGCTCACCCTTTTGCCTCTCTCGAAATGAACAGCAGATTAGGATCAAAGCGAACGATTTGGCCCTTCTCCACTTTGGCTTGATGTGCAGGGCGTTCAAGGCATTATCCCCAGAAATTCACTCTTCCGGAAAAAGGAGAGGGGGGGGTGACCCCACATTTCTGGAAAAAGTAGAGGGGGGGTGACTCCACTCTTCCGGGGGCCGTAGAGGTGGAGGTACTCCACTCCTCAAGATAAAGTGTGCGTGTGTGTGTGTTTGTGTGTGTGTGTTTTGGGGGGGGAGGAGGAGAAGCTCTAGAAAAAGGCTCACATGCAGACTCCAAATTTGTTTAAAGGTCGAGTGTATCTCCAGCTAGAAAGTGGGGAAGATACACATGGTTTTTTTTCTGTCTTTTTCACACTGGCAAGTGGCGGTCCACGGCCTGCTGATGGAAAGACTTTAGAAAAGGCCACCATGCATACTCGCAGTTGTGAACTTAACTTGGACGGGACAGAACCACTTCCTTTTTCTTGCGGATCGAGCTAAACAGGCATTAGCCGAAATGGTTCTAGAACCCGAATGGGAAGCCTGTTTTGAACCTCACTCTTATGGATTTAGGCCCGGACGGAGTTGTCAAGATGCCATGGAAGCTCTGGCTAGAGCCATTAGAGCCAAATATGTGCTTGACGATGACATTGCAAAATGCTTTGATCGAATCAACACTTCGTGCCTCTTGGAAAAGCTAGACACATATCCTGTGACGAGGAATCAGATTAAAGCCTGGTAGATTTGGTATTATCAGTCATGTGGTTTCTACTTTTTCCAGAAAGCTTGTGTTTGGCTATTTGGGCATGGTTTATGGTGCGCCGTGTAAGGCTTATTTCGTCGATATCGGACGCTGACTGAAGGCAGGCACGAAGTGCAGCCAGACATGCTGGACACGAAAGCAAGACGCAAAGAAGTGGTTGTCCAGTCTCCTTCCTGTATTTATTATGGAGTAATGTTTTATTTTATTATTTTATTATTTCTTTTTCTTCCAGTTGTGACCTTTAGGTTCTAGGCTATTGCCAGGTGGAGGAAAAGCCCCTTATACTCGGAGCAGATGGATGGAAGGAAAAGCCGCATATGCTCAAGAGTATAGCTGGATGTATCTGACCACAATTACGTCCAGAGATCACTCAGAAAGTCCAGGTGCATGCACCCCATGTACTCGGGGCGTAGCAGGACGTATCTGAGTGCAATCACAGCTGGTCCTGGATGTATTGAACCACAATTACGTCCAAAGATCAGTCGAGAAAGTCCTAATGTGAGTACATCGTAGAAGTATGTGTGCACACACTTGTGTTCATGTATGAGCCAAACAAAGCTCACTCAAAAATGCAGGAAAGAGCACGGAAAGGTCACCCTCTGAGTAAAGGTTGTGCTCCACTGACTGACTTAGGCAATATGTCCTCAAAGAATCTCGGGCTCCACCGCAAATGATTTTTATTCTTTTATAATTTTTAAATCCCCTTCGATTGCCCAAATTCAGGTGTTGGCAGTTGTTTGCTGTGGAGCACAACCCACTCCACGCCTCATTATTCTCAGCACCACTCTCTCCAGCCAAGAATTTGCTACAGAGAAGTCTGGAGCAGACTGTGGGAGGAGCCCATTTGTGTGACACATTCCAGCCCACCCGGTTTGTTGTATTGGGAAACCGCTGCCAGACAACGGCCAACCGGTTGCTGGTTGAGCACCTGCATCCCCGCTCCATCCTTTTCTGGAGGCGGTGATGCTTATTGTTTGTGATAGCTCCAAGTTCATCGCTATGTAGAACCTCCTCAATTTTGAACCTCCTCAATTTTGACGATGAATCCTCTGTTCTTACTTTAGGAAAGGAAAATTCTCCACTTTAAGTCGGTAGTCTTGGGCGGATTGAGAGATATTCGCCATCGCAGTTCGTGTCTAGTATCTACACTGCAGATCTCTCTTGATACGTGCAGTAGGACCTTGGCCCTCCCTTGGGTGCTATGACTTTTTCGTATTCCCTTTTTCTTTCTTTCTTTTCTTCCTTTGAATTTGGGGTGCTTTCAATTCTTTGGCTTCCCCAGCTGGGCTGCGTTTCTTAGAACTTGTGTGATAATTCATGGCGCAAAGCTGTTGGTTGAGAGAGGATTTCTACGGTGAGGGCATACCCTGAGAGGACTTTTTCTACTCAGCTCTGGACGTGATTACATCCGGATGCATCCAGGTCTGGCCGTAAAAACTGTCAGACACATTTAGCAAAGTGCTACCGTCTTCACCTGAATAGAATGCCCAGTCATTGTAGCTGCATTTGGCACAACTTTCAGTCCAGCAACCGGGCGTTTTATTCGGGTGAAGACGGTAGTGTGAGTATGGCATGAGTTCTCTCATTGCAATACCTGCCACAATAAAGACTGGCGAAGCATAAGGGACAGGCTCCACTGGCGCAATGTTTATGTTGGGGAAGCATGAACCTGGCCGTAATAGTGGCTTGGTTTGTGCTTTCGTAGCAGGAACAAAGCATCGGTGTGGCCTGGCCCTAAGTTAGATTATACCCTTTAGAGAGATGCCAGGCGTAAAGCTGTGCTTTGAGAACTCACTTGCGGTTGGAAAAGAATGTGAACCCACTAATTTTGTGGTGGGAAAAGGACACTGGGGGCCACGGCGACCTAATGCTCCAAGCTCGCAAAGTATTCCAGACCTGCGGAGTTGGCCAGACAAGCCATTGCGAACAAATTTGAGGGTCCAATAATTTTTAGAGGCTGTCAAATGTAGTGGGTTGTCGAGGCCACCACTACGATTATTTTTTTTGAAACCACCACTACTTGTGATGCCTTGCAGTGACAAATCAGGGCCAGCACAAATTTCTCTCGTTTTGGCTGGTGCCGCCAGCCATTTTGGTCTGGTGGCGCCTGGCCTCCGAAGAGGGCGCGGTGTTCATGCTGTCAGCCACTGCTAGTGCCGCAATGTTTCCACTTAAATGAGTTTATGCCAGTGCCCCAGACCCGTTCATCCCAGCATGTCACGGCGCGCATGCGGCTGCTGTTCTTGGAAGTACTGGTGGTTTAAACCACCAGTACCTTTCCCCTCTTGAAAAACAGATATGCGACTCGTATACGGCCGCATTTGTGGGGGGTCGGGGAAGGCTGAGCCAGTAGCTGTTTGGGCCCCGCCGGTACCCTCCACGCGTGGTCGTTTTGGAAATCCAAACACATTGTTTCTCAGGCCTCGCTCCACTACTCTTGAAATGTGCAAAACGAGAGTGAATCTTCCGCTAGAACATGGAAAAATAACACCACGAAAAAGAAACAGAAGAAAGACGCGGAAAGCTGTTCCAGGGGTTGGGAAGGACCGAAGCGCTTTCGCCGGTGCTAATTTGGCGCTCGGACCAAGCGCTGTTCGGCCGGTAACGGCGGGCCTAGGGCAACAGCTCCCGCGGTCAGCAAGACAGCGATCTGGAAGAGACGTCATCTAGCTCGCTCCTTGAAGCGACAACAGGGATGTTGACGAAAGTGAACACCCCTGCTAGGTGTGACGACACGTGCCCAGGGGTTTCCTTCCTGTTACCAGTGACTACATAAGCTCCATCGCTACCAGGTAGGGCACATTCGTGTCCGTAGGATGTTTGAACTTTGAGGACACACAATCTACTAGCACACCTCTATCTCAGGAACGATCTCTTGGTTCCTTGTTCTTATCTCCTCTTACATTTCGTTCTCCACTCATTAACTCTAGAGTGAGCCTTGGCGTCCTAACGGAATGGATCCCGAAACGGGGACAGGGTTGCCGAACAGGTCCCCCCCCCCGCTCCGGAAGAACACGAGGAGGACGACGCTAGAGTAAGAGAGCTTCTTCGACTCTGCTACGAGGAAGGCATCCTCCCCAGGGATATCGACCCAGGGGAAATGACGGTACAAGGGCGCAACGTCAGATTCAAAGTAAAGGACTCCATAGAGAGACTCAAGGTACAGTGGCTGAAGGAGCGAACAGTCACCGTGATCTTTAGGGATGCAGCTCGTTTCCTCCCAAGGAATGTGAAAGAAGACCTTATCAGAGCTTATGAGGATGAAAGGGTACAGACAGGCGAGTTCGGTGATGGCTTCAGCAGAAGGAGAGTTAAGTTGGAAAGCCTAAACGTAGCTTCGTACATTGCAAAGAGCACCACGATCTTTGCATGGCTGGTGGAGAAACAAAGTGCAGAAGTGGTGCTGGCAGGGGACACGTATAGGTTGGAGTTCAAACCATGGCTTACCAACGCACAACTAAGGGAGCAACGAAGACTAGAAGACTTATCGACTTTCTGGGTCATCGCAGTTCAAGTACCGTTAGATGCAATGTTCTACTTGGAATCACACATCAGACGAGCAATCGGTCCAGTTACGTTGATGCACCGACCAGAACGAGATCGTGAGAAACCGGCTCTCGTAAATATCAAGTTTGATCTCGACCCGGAGGCAAGACCAAACATGAAGGATTCAATAACAGTGGACACATTCGAAGGAGATGAGCTCGAGGTCAAGCTTGCGTCATCGGACACTCCACGCTGTCGGAAGTGCCGTGCGTTTTTTCATACAACGGACGAATGCAGGAGAGGAGGGCGACCTCGTCAGCAGCAAGGCAGCGCAGGAGGTCAAGGTCAAGGCGACAGAGAGGAGGTGGCTCAGGAGGGTTCATCCAGACAGGTTTACCATGGACCGCTAGGAAGAGGAGGAGCAAGTGCTCAACTTGCGGCCTCCTTTGTCGGAGCTGGATCGGCCCAGCCTCCAGATACGAGCTTCGCAAATATTTATCAAAATCCTGCGTTCATGGCGGCTCCGCAGGTCATGCAGTCCAACGCGTCCCTGGCTCAGCTATTTCAAGAGTTGGCGCTTGCACAAGCGGGTAATACCGTCCCGCTTGGACAACCGTTGGGAACTTTCCCACATATGGTTAACCCAGGCTATGACTTTCAACCTTATCAAGAGACACAGAGCAGATTCCGACCATCTTGCCTCTTCCCGGGAGGAGGACAAGCAGAACAACAGGGAGGCACTGGCGGTGGTCCGAGCACCAGTCAAACGCCAGGCAAAATAGAGCGTCCCGGGTCGGCGAATCCAGGAGGGAGAATAAGAGGAAGCACTCCTGGGAAGCACAGACGGGTAGACAGCGAGGGGCAAGAAGAGATACCAAGGGATTTGTCGACTTCGTCCCTCCCAAGATCAGAAGGTTCAGGAGACCAAGAAACAATCATAGGAACTCCAGGCATGAAGACTACTAGAAGGCGAACGCCAACGGCCTTGAGTCGAGGGCAGTTGGACAGTGTCGAGAACAGGATTCTGCCGCTCATGTGCCTCGCAGCTAAAGGGACGTTGTCGGTGGTTGCATGGAGTGGAGGAGGAGTGCCGGAGCTATTCAACACTGCATCCCCGGATCAGCCGATGCCCCTTAATTCCAAGTTCATCAAGGGCTTCCTCACTGCGCCTTGGGACCAGCAGCTGTCGGCATCCGGAACAGCCCTCCCCATCCAACAAGTAACCGGGAATCAGGGTATGAATGGGTAGGCTCCGCCTGTCCACATGGAATCTGCGAGGCCTAGTTGATCAGTCGGGTAAGTTCAAGAAAACGAGACTCAAATCCTGGCTTCATGAGAAAGGTGTTCACGTAGCATGCCTACAGGAAACTGAAACTAAGTTAAGCGAAGATAGAATTAACGAGCTAGGGACGTGGTGGGATGGCCCCCAAATCTGGTCGCCTCCTCAAGGCACCAGAGGAGTTGCCATCCTTGTGCAAAGAGATGCTGAACTCGAGATCGTAGATTACTTTGCGGATCTTTGGGGTCGTTGGGTCTGGCTAAAACTGTGGGCGGATGATAAAGAATGGCTGATTGTTAATATGTATGCACCAACGAGCCGGAGAGAACGGGCGGATTCTTTTGATGACCTGAACGTGCTGATTCCCGACTGTCCTAACATTATTTTAGCGGGAGATTGGAATATCTCACTGGACTCCGCCGCCGTCAAACATGGCAGCCAAAATCCAGCAGATATCTCAAACCTCCTGAGCTTTATGGACAGCCGGTTGTTGGTAGATCCTTACCGCCTATCTCACCCACTGGATGAAGGACACACGTGGTTCTCCAACCACCGGGAAGATACGGGCATAATCAGTCGTAGATCAGATTTCTTTCTAATCTCTGAACAGCTTTGGGAGCAAGTTGATACGATCCATGAACACCTACACCCTCTCTCCGATCACAAACCTGTACTGCTTCAGCTACATACTACACTCGTTGCGAGGGGTAAGGGGTATTTTAGGTTCAACACTCAGAACCTACAGGATCCGGGTTTAGTCGAGTGGATGAGATCCTTCTGGGTAGACTGGGACCAAGTCAAACGGAAGTTCGCTTCGTTGGAAGAATGGTGGCAATCTGGTTCAACCATATTTTCTAATCAGCTGAGCATTTTCTCCAGGATACTCGCTACAAATAGGAACAAGGAGGAAGCTACTCTTAAGAGAAGACTAGAGGAGGTAGAGCTTAAGATGGCACGCCACCCAATCTCACGATTAGCTTGGAGTAAGGAGAGATCGAAGTTGATAGCGGACTGGGACAGTCTTCAACAGAAGAACTCAGAAGTATGGGCTAAAAGGCTCAGAGTCAAGGGTATTGCAGTGTATGATAGAATGAGCAAAGAAGCGTTTCACAAGCTCGCCCCACGACGTGCCTCACAATTAATTAACGAACTCTATCATCCCTTTGATCCCCAGGCCCCAAAAGCTAGAGACTTAGCGATGCTAAGCGAGTATGCGGCACTGTACTACAAAGATATACTTACCTCTCGCCTTCAAGGTCAAGAGGTGAAATCGGATTTGTTCCAGCAGTCTTCGCACTGGGACAATACAACTGCCAGATTGCCCAACGCTGCTAGACTGCTCCTAGTCAGACCAATTACGAATGAAGAAGTCAAATGCACCCTGAAGTCTATGGCAACAGGGAAAGTACCGGGGGATGATGGATTGCCAGTCGAAGTTTACCTCGCTATTTGGGATGCTGTAGGAGACAATCTTGTAGAGCTGTATAACTCAGTCCTTATTGGAGGAAGCCTGGCTACGAATATGCGAAATGGCATTATTTTCGTACTCTATAAGAAAGGCGATAAATCTGAGGTAAGAAATTACAGGCCCATTGCTCTGCTGAACACCTCCTACAAGATCTTAGCGAAAACGCTAGCTCGTAGACTAAGTGCTGTCCTCCCTGAGTTGGTCAAAGCTGACCAAGCTGCGTTCGTCAGGAACCGCTCAATTTTTAACAATATTGCCACTGCTATCCAGGCCTTGGAAGTCATCTCAGACGAGGAGCTAAACATGATGGTTCTGCTTTTGGATTTGGAGAAGGCATACGGCCGCGTCAATTGGTCGCAAGTTCTCTCCACTCTCAAGTGGATGAATTTTGGCGACAACTTCTGCTGCTGGATTACTGCCTTGTATGTCTTTTCTACTGCAGCGGTCATGGTAAATGGGAAGATTTCTCAGAAATTCAAGTTGTCCCGATGCCTTAGACAAGGATGTCCGCTTGCTCCTTTGGTATTTGTAATTCAATTAGAGGTTCTCATGAATAACATTAGATCTCATCCTCAGATCCAAGGCTTGCAGATAGGTAGCTTGGAATGCCGAGTAAAGGCATTAGCGGATGACTTACTGGCCATCTCTAGGAACAGCCCTGAGTCTCTGGGAGCACTAAAGAGCTGCCTTGATGACTATTCGACACTGTCTGAGGCATCCGTTAACTGGCATAAGTCGGTTTTTCTGTTACCTAGGCAGTACACCCCTACTCTCAGATGGGGCATGAAACAGGTCGAGGTCAACGTTTCGGAGAGGTTCTTAGGTGTTCAGATTGCCCTGTTTGACTGCTCGGCAGATCAGGACGGTTTACTGCTCCAAAAGACTCTCCACAGACTTTCCACCGGGGGAAGGCAGTACACCTGTCAATTTTTGGCAGGGCCATGGTCATTAATGCATCTCTGTTCTCCTTACTTTGGTTTGTAGGAGCGGTTCGGAGATTGGGTCAACAACTGTGTCCGATGTTAAGAAGAAGAGCCTCTAAGTTCCTGTGGAAACCTTCATTTCTAAAATTGCCTGGGAACTGATTACCTCCTCTCGTCTCAAGGGGGGGTTGGGATTAACAGACCCGGAAAGACGGAATGCAGCAATGTTAGTGAAATGGATAATTAACGCAGTCTCTACGGAGAGGTTAGAGCACTGGATCCTGCTTGGGGAACAGATTTTGATGAAAGAATGGAACCTCAGGCGCCCAGAGGACGTATGGACTGCTATACTCTATTCCTACCAGAGAAGGGCAATCAAATCGCCCTTTTTGGCTCCAATCATTAAAGCGTGGAGACGACTCAGACCAGACACGTGGGAACAGCCGGTCACAAGACAGGAGGTTCTCAACGAACCAGTCTTCGAGAATCCACATGTCACCGACTGCAACGGCCAATGGATCAAGGCGGACTCAGCCACAGGTAGTTTTGGTCGATCCTGGATGGAGAAGGGAGTGGTAACAATCAGAGACCTTTGGGACGCGCTAAGGAACAATTGGCTCACTTCGGAGGACCTACAGCTCAGACTGGTCTCAGTTAGATCAGTAGAAGAGAGGAGAGATCTGGTGTTGTCTGCAATCCCAGCAACGTGGAAGGCCTTGCTGGATCCAGCCAGCCTTGACCCACCCGGCACTTGGTACCGGTCAGCACCTAGTTCGTCGGAATTTTGGAAGCTCATCGCTCATACAGAAGTAAGAAGAATTTTCCAATGCTGGACCAGACAATCCATCTCCAGCGCTACTCTGCAGCTAGACGAGGAACGGTCTCACCCGGAGTTGGGTGACCCATTAAGCCAGGTCAGAGTTTTTGAGGTGCCAAATCAGGACGGCACCTTGCTGTGCTCAGTGTTTGCAGATGGCCAACCGGTGGAATCAGTCAGGCTAGACCCAGCTCTTTGGACTTGGAGAGCCAAAGGTACGAGAGGTGAAAACCTCCCTATTCTGAATTATACCGTTCGGATAGGATACAAGCTCCTATGCCCCCGAGACAACCCTTAGCGGTTGCAGTCGGTAGATGGACACAAGTGCTTCAATCTTCACCGGAAGACATCAGGACAGCCATCTCCAAGTGCTGGGAACAGATCAAGGTGATTCAATCAGAGACAAGCCGCACTCATTTGGCTGTTGTCCTATTTGGCTACGCCATCAGCAGTCTGGTTAGCACAGAGAGGAGTCCCTGTAGATCTCACCTGCAGTCAATGCCAATGGGCCTTCGAGTCCACGCCGCATTTGTGGTGGGACTGTCCGGCTTCGAACAGAATTTGGCAATGGTGGAAAAGAATCTGGGAGGGATTTGCAGGTCAAACGCTTTCATGGACTAGAGAGTGGGTTCTATTAGGAGGTATCCCAGAAGAGCTCCAAACTGAGATGGGCTGGGGCTATGTAGCCCAAACAGCAAGGGCAGCAGGAATGGAGGTGATCTGGCACGAAAGAAAATGCAGAGTGTTCAAGAAGAAGGAACTCTGCAACAAGGAGATCCGTTACCGCTTCAGAACAAACCTGCGCAGGTCGATACAGGCAGACTGGAGGAGAAAAGGCCGCACAGCAACAGCTTCAGGCAGAATGTGGTTTCAGAGAACCTGGTGTCTCAACAAGGACATAGCAGCATATCAGCAGAGGGCAAGTTGGAGCTGGGCTCCTGGTTCTACTTAGACAAGTAGAGAACTTATAACAGTAGGCTTCAAACCAGGACACTCGGTTCTTGGGCCGCAGTGGGCAGGCAGAAGAGGTCAAAAGGTTTGGAGGAAGTGTCAAGTAGGTAACGTGGGTCCTCGGAGTCCCACACCGCCGTTTGTTAGGCGGTCAGTTTTTCATTTGTAGACAGTAGGCATAAGGAACAGTCTATTCCTCCCCAACCCTGTAGGAGGTTAGTGGCCTGCAGGATGGCCGGTTTTATCGTTGTTTTTCCTTTTTAGTAGGCACCCTTCGCCCTGTTGGTTTCCCCTTCCCGTCACCTTCTAGTGTTTTTTTAGATCTTTTGCCTTGAGGGTACTAGTTCGTTTTATTCTGGGTTTGTTTGGCTTTCAGGCCCTGAGGGATTCTTTGTTCATTTTCCCCCGTTTTTAGGGGTTGCGGATAAGTCAGAGCAACGGTCTCGCATTGACCCTTGAAGTCTCTGGACATAATCCCAACGCCCAAGCCTAACCTGGGTAATGGCCCCAGGATGGTTACTTCATTCCGGGTTGTTTGTGGAGGATTCCCGGCCTCCCCCCTTTTTCTCGTTAACGAACGATCTTGTCCTTTTGTAAAAAAAAAAAAAAAAAATCACCATGATTTTTGTCTTTTGTGCATGTCGAGAGTAGTGGAGCGAGGCCCTATCCCTCATGTCATTTTTTTTTAATTATTTTTTTTGAACCCTCTATCCCTCGTGTCGGTTGTTTGTTTGTTTGTTTGTTTGTTTGTTTGTTTGTTTGTTTGTTTGTTTGTTTTTCCGAACCCTCGTGTGATTTTGTCCCCTCACATGTTTGAGTCCCGGTACACGGAACGCAGGTGAGTAGTGGAGCGAAGGCCCTGCAGCTGGTCTGTTTTCGCAGCATGGCTGGAAATGGGAACGAATCATCTGCCGTAATATGGGAAGACACACGGCCATATTTTTGTCTTTTCTGGCACCTTATGGCCCTACCTGTAGTTGGTCCGTGGGCTCCTCGGTTTTGCGCTTGGGGTGTTTCGCAGCATGGGCAAAAATGAGAACGAATCTTCGTCTAGAACGTTGAAAGATACATGGCCATTTTTTGTCTTTTGTGGCACTGGTGCACAGCAGAGACTCTGTCGCGTCTGCACAGAGGAGCTTCGTGCTGCCTGGCCGTGTACTGCGGTGCTGCCTGGCCATGTACTGCGGCGCTGCCTGGCCATGTACAGCGGCTTGACCTTGCTCGAGTTACATTCTACCGGCTGGGGGGCCTGAAAAGGTCACGGTCTGTCTCTTATACACATCTAGATGTGTATAAGAGACAGGGGGAGGAGGGGTGGGGGGGGAAATGGAGCACAGGAGGACAAAGTGGCCTGCGAGAAAGGGTGTTGGCACCATTCTGTCCAAACAATGGGCCTCGCCACACCACTCTCCGAATCTGAAAAAGACAAAAATGTGGCGAGTGCATCTGGCGATGTCCTAGGGGGAAGTTCATTCTCATTTTGCACATTTTGAGAGTGGTGTGGCGATGCCCAATATGGCCTCCGCATGTGGCTGCCCGAACCGATCCTACCGTGTATAGGCAGGACTGGGGCACGGCTTTGCCGCGCTGGGTCCACTTGTTTTCTTAAACCATGACCGTGTTTCCCAGCTATTTTGTTATGACACAGTGGTCAGTTCGCCGCATAAAGCTGGGCTCAGCCCCTACCGAGAGGAATGGCGGCAGTGCCAGCCCAAAGAAAAAAAAAGTTGTACCCTGACCGGTTCTTTTCTGTTTTTTGCACAGCAAAAAGAATCAGGCTTGGGAAAAAGCACGTTGGATGTAGTAGTGGCGGTTTAAGGGTGTGGCAAGATAACACCCTTTTGCATGCAAATGTTATGGGATGGTCTCCGTGATGGATTCTTTTCTTTTCTCCCCCGGTGAGGAATTCAACAAAGCCCCAAGGCAGGGCAGGGCAGGGCAGGGCAGGGCAGGCAGGGCCATTTCAAGTCAACACAAGGACTTTGGCCAAACGTACCGCACATCTCTGGGTCTCAGGGCATACTGACACCGAGACTTTCCTTGATGTATCTAACTGCGGTTGTGACCAAATGCTGATTAAAAATTTGTGTTGCCAGTATGCTCAAGCCTCTCATTGGGGCAAATTTCTCACTCAACCTGTACTCCTGTGTAAATGGATAAACCACCCATCAAGGCCTCGGAGAGCATAAGAGTAGACGCCACGAACTGATCTTCAATGATAATGTCCTGTCGTTCTTCTTCCAAGCTGTCAAGGCCATGCGGAAACTCGTCCAGCCACTTTCTGATTGATTTGTCTATTATTAACAAGCCCCTGATAAACCGAAGCGTGTTTGGGTAAACCCCCCCAAATCGTTTTCACGGTTACCTAGACATAGCAATGACAGCACACAATTGACACACCCATTTAATCAAGTTGGCACCCAATGTCTCTTTGATGAGAAACCTCATTGCTTTCTGCTGTTCTTCATTGAGCTCGACCATCTGAATGATGGTCCACATATTCACTTTGCTTTTATCCCTTTCCATCCCCCCAAACAAGAAGAAAACAAAAAAAGAAGTAGAAAAAGAAGAGGAGGAAAAGGATTTCATCCTATACAAGATGCTGTCATCGAACTCATCTGAAACATCTGGTATGGTGTGGATCATGACAGCAGCACAACCGGAGATGAGCGAACGAATGAGGCGCTGAATGCGGCCAGATGGATTGACATTAGCTCAGGCTTGAGTTGTCGGCATATCTGATCTGTCTCGCCAGGGAAACTTACTCGCACTCATACAAACACTCGCATACACAGAGGAGGAAGGGTGGGAGGAGATGTGGACAGAGAGGTAAGGGTTGAGAGAGAGAGAGAGAGAGAGAGAGAGAGAGAGAGAAACCTGTCTCTTATACACATCTAGATGTGTATAAGAGACAGGCTGTAAAGATCGGGCGTTCTATTCGGGTGAAGAGGGGTAGTGCCGCTGCTGCTGCCGCCTGGTAGACACTGCTGCTGTGGTGGGGGTTGGAAATCATATAATCATCATTTTTTGACTTTTTTGGTAAATCCAGGAACGCTGAAGACTGGGGAGCTGTTTGCACCATATGTCATGAGTTAGCAGTGACTTCAAAGTTGTGGTTTCTTCCTCCCTTTTTTTTTTTTTTTTTTTTTTTTT